AGTTCAATATCAACGGTGGAGTACGCCAAGGAAAGATACTTTCATCTCTATTATTCAACGTGGTGGATTATGTGATGCGCAGGAACGTCGTCCGCAACAATAGCGATGGATTTACTATCAGACGAAGAATTAGCTTACGGTACTCAGCAGTACTCATAGCAGATCTCGAGTACGCTGACGACATTGTACTAATGAGCGACTCCGTCAGTGGCTTACTGGCTTACTAAAATCGAAAAGCATGTCCAAGGTGGTCTCAGTGGTAGGCCTCGAAGTTAACCCTACGAAAAAGAAGATTAGACGAGCATCGACTCGAACAGCGACTCAATGATTCAGTGGAACGATCATCGAGAAAGTCGAAAACTTCATGTACCTCGGCTGTGTACTGGTGAGACATAGAAGCTATGATATGGAATTAGAACGTCCCTCAGGGCTGGCATTTGTGAATGTAGAGCGACTTTCTAAACTGAGGCAAGACCTATATATCCGGCCAGCAGCAAAGATCACTCTACTGAAAGCCGCTGTCTTCTCAATCCTGATGTACAGCTTTGAAACATCAGCCTTTTCAGATCGCCAGCAAACGTTGGACACTTTCCAACAGCAGTGTCTGTGGAACATTCTGAACGTGCGATGGTTCCATCGAATGAAGAATGAATATTTCTTGGAAATGATCAGCCTGAGAATGGAGTGTGAAGAATTTAGGAACCGGCGTTTTGTCGAGGTTAGACGGAACCATCTGAAGAGAAAATAGAAACCTATCCAGAGCTGTTTTTCTCTACAAAGCAAAAACTGAACGCTGACGCGTCGGAGGCCAACATTGCACCCTAAAAAAGCTGCTAAAGGAGGTTTGGTTGCGACGAGGACTTTTGCGGCAGAAGCCAACATCACCTGAATCATTCTGAGAAGCCAAAGCATCAGACTTCATTAATCTGGGTATTCTTTCCTTGACCATAATGCCTCAGGTGATGATGACACCTCAACAACGAGAAGCTTGTGTAAATGGTTTCTGCTCAGCCAGTTTATCTAGCAGGGCTACCTCGTTTTCTTTGTTTCCTTCTACACTAAATAAGATGCAGCTCTCAGGCGTTCCTTATGTGGTCCTACCACTTAACCCTTACTATGAGTCAAAGTCAACGCTGCTCTATGAGTTCAACCGTTGTTTCTGCTCCTGCGGTAGAACAACTCTCTCTCCATGCTGCACCGCAACACTGACGTGACAAAGGGCACGACAAGGAGGCTTTTTGTGCAACCATGAACTCATTTCTCAGCGCAAGTGTCAGACAGGTTTTTAAAGTTGTAAGTCAGTTGTGCCGGATGGGTTCCTAATAACTTTTGACTTCCGGACATTAAGCAAGAGGATAGCTTTCGCAGTTGTGTCGCATGCTAAAGTCCTCGGGTGAGAAATCCCGCTCCCGTGGATCATGGACAATATCATATGCATATTCTAGGTAGGATAGAATCTTGTGCTAAAACGAATGGCTGTTAAATGCATTCTGGCTAGCCAAGGCGACAGCGTAGGTAACTCTGACTCTAGCAGCATACTTGAAGGGAAGGACTAAAGACTACCTCCGTGATTATTCTAGAAAAATGCATGATAAAATATCATATCGTCTGATCATGACGTTTATACCGGAATGAATTTGAACTACACTCATCTAGCTTTGCTTGATGCTGTTGCAGCAGAACTAGTCAGAGGTACACTAATTCCCCAAGTTATCAATTTTTTATATCGGTGAACTGAAAAGGCTTGTGAGTCCCATTGTGAAACACAGCCATCCGTAATGTATCTGACAACTTACAGTGCAGACGTGAATCTTCAACGAGTGAATCCTTGAGGGAGCAACGGGTCGGTAGATTATCATGCACTCTAGTGGTTCAAAATTTCAATTTCAACATTTCCGGCGTGAAACTTCCTTTCAATGACTAGTTCGCCTTTATCCAGTTGATAGATGGCTAAATGTCTATCAACGTAAACGATGCAAGTTTAATTATCTGAAAACTTAGGCTGATGATCTTCGGTTTCGGTTCATGGTTTAAGGGTAAGGTTGAAAAATACTAGTATAAAATCCGTTATTTACCGATATTAGCGTCTTTATCAAAGCAATGATTTACCGATGAAGCGCAAGATATTATGAGGATAGTTATGTAACATTTGAGTGACAGATTCCTTTGTTGCATTTAATTCATTCGAACAAATTCACCAATGATATTCTAGTTATCACTTAAACTAAAACCAACATTTGTTACACAAAGAGCTTTAGGCAACGTTGGGGATGATTCGTTAATTAACAGTCCGTTGTTT